GAATATTTTTTTTCAGTATTCTTTGATGAACAGAAAGATCCAAAGATCAGCATTTATCTGAAATAAAAAGCTTTTATAACATTATACACTATTCCATTCAAAAGCTTGGAGTCAGTATAATGTTTTCTTTGGAAATTATATTTGGCGCTGCAATTTTATTTTATTTATAATATTTAATTTAGCAAAGTTATTTTAAATAGTAAAAAAAAATTTCAGAATGTTACTGTTTTGCTGCATTTTTCAAATAAATGCAGGCTTGGTGAGCAGAAGAGAATTCTTTAAAAAAACAAACATTAATTTATTTGTGCTGTTTTTTTTTCTTAAATATTTTATAGTTTTATAGGAGGAGGTTTCATAGACTTGGAAAATTCATTTTCCAGAATTTTTTTAGGTACAGACATCTGTTGTGGGCGTTCTTGGCAGTTTTTATGAGGCTTTTTTTCTTAAATAGTGTTCGTATCGATATCGGAATTATATCGTATCGACCGAAATTAAGAAGTATATCGCGATATAAATTTTGGCCATATCGTCCAGCCCTAACATGCATACAGTATACTATATGCATATGAGTGCTGCTAAACAATGTTGAGGTTTCTCTAGTCGCTAACAATTGATAAACCAGATGGTTGCCATGGTGACGGAGAAGAAGCGGTCCTCCTCCATCGGGATCTTCACCAGCACAGCAGTGAGGATGAAGAGGAGCAGGATGAAGACCAGACTGCCTGCTATCCTCATCTTCTCCGAGATCCTGAAACACAAATGATCGGGTACACATGACTGGTTGCAAATGATATATGTATTATACATTTAGAATGCATTTCATAACTACGAGTCAAGCCCATACGTCAAAAAACAAACAAACAAACAGTTCTCACCACTGATAGAGAAAAGAGTTGAGCAAAGTGAAGAGCAGCAAAGGCAGCTGGGACAGCAGAGTCATCCAGTTATTGAAATAATACTCCTTCCTGGTGGTTACTGTTGCATTACTCCATTCAGACGTGTTGAGTCTGTTGTTGAAATACTGTAAAAAAAAATATATATATATATCTTCACAAAAAAAAAAAATTTTTTTTTAAAATGAACACTCCAGGCAATGGTGGAAAGCTATTAGCTTGATTACAGTCTGTTCTGTTGACTCACTAACCCTGCTTTCAGAGCAATTAAACCCAATCCCTGCCCTTCTTCAAAGCCACATATCATTGTGCTTCACTGCAATCACATCCGTCCTTTAGTTTGAGAGAGTTCTGTGTTTAGAAGGTAAAACATTAAATCCACAATGAAGAACGTACCGGTCAGCAGGGGCATCTTCTCTTGGGCTCATTTTGTACGGGTGGCAGCTGTTTGAAAAACAAAACATCAAATCATTAAAACACAATTCTAGCTTTACATTACAATTACATAAATCACAAACGGCACAAACGGTGACCATCTCAAAGCTGCTGCACTCGGTTATAGTCTAGAAAAGAATGAGAAAAACACATCTTTACCTTTATTTACTCCAAATACAGAAAAGATCTCGGTAACACTGCAGTTCCTCGGCAAAACAGCAAGACGTTTGTACATGACTGCTTCAGCTTCAGCGTATCCACTCCAAACAGTTTAACTACACTAAACGTGAGTGTGCATGTGGACAAGCATGGCGTTTCTGTGAGAAATGGGGAACGGAGAGTAGGAGGAGCGTTCACGTAGGGCTGGGCGATATAGCCAAAAAATGCATCAACGATATAATGTTTCATATCGTTCGGTATTGATAACTATTGAATTTTTTTTTTAAAACAGAGCAATTGAAAAAACATTTTTAAATTTAACCACTGTATTTTTAAATTAACCCAATTTATTGAGACAAACAACAAATATTTTTTGTTTTAACAATCAAACACAAAATAAAAATTAAACAAATATCTAATTTCTAATGTTTTATATGCAGATTAAATGGGTCTTAAGGAAACTTTTGTCTTGTCTCCCGAGGCCACAATGAGCAAAATAATGCAGCGCATTTAAATTGTCAACGCAAGGAAGTAACTCTATAAAAAAACGTGCATTACAACTAAATTAACTCATAAAAATCGAATATAATTTCGTAAATTGCATAAATACATGATGCTGTTTTGTTCATAATTGTTTATGCATTGCTTAATCCAAAGAGCCGAAGCGCCATTCACACAGATTGCATTTAGAAACATATGAGACGCAGTGAAAAGGAATAAACCTCCACAAATTCGTGACTTGTTTTCTAAAAGTTTAAACTGTTTTAACTTTGCATGGCTACATCTCTTGTGTGAGATGCGAGTGCAGCAGTCATATTTGTCCGTCTAAAAAATGCGCTGAATATGCGTTCTGTGTGAATGGCTTGGTTTCGGTTTTAACCTAATCAAGATCTTCTCCGCATTGAGCTTCTATATTTCTCTAATATTTTGAATGAATAAAGCAGCACCGGCGCGTCTCGTGGGCTTGACTAACAAAACATTAAAATGCAACAACGTCACTTACATCCTCGCGCGCCACTGATTACGCTCCCTGACGCACTCCTAACATTCAAATGTTTATTTTAAATTCGACTAATATTCATTCTTTATTTACAATCTCCTCATCACAGGCAGGCACAGCACTCATTTCAGCATGTGTTCGTGTTTGCGTGTGCTGTCTGCGTCACTCATAGCACGTGCCTATATCGTGCGCTACATCGAACAATTTTTCTATCGTTATCGAAGAAGGTGTACCGTCGATAAATATCAATACCGTTTTATCGCCCAGGCCTACGTTCACGTCACAGCAGGTTTACTCTCTCGCACACACAAAAAAGGAACTGAATTACCCAGCAGACACCTGTGCTGTTTGAGGATGTTTAGGTTGCAATGGTGTTAAATTGGAACTACTGCAAAGGTAAATAACAACAGACTACTATATATATATATTGACAAAAGAGGTCACAATTGCAGGTGACGTGAAGAAATTTATACTACAACAGAAAAAAATGTGTGATAATAAGCCTTCTTTAAAAGGAAGTGCACTTAAGTGTATTGAATGTGCGCTTGTGCACTGTTAAAAGTATATATTTAAAAAAAATAAACTGTACTTGCAGATAACATATTAAAGAAATAAAAGGCCACTTAAGAGACGCTATCATGACACACTTAAGTTTCTTAGCACACTTAAGTACACTTTTAAAAGTGTCAAATTAAGTTTTATTTTAAATTACATTTTAAATCAGTTTTAATAACCTTTCGTTGTGGTTTAAAGTTAAATTTGATGTGTTGACTAACTGAAGCACATGTGAAGTACATTTTTATTTTAACTGTAGTGTTTTATTCAATATTACATTTAAAGTGAATATTTGAATTGTGCTAAATTTCAACTTCCTTACAAATGTGTAATTACAAATATTTAAATACATGACAAACAAGTTTCAATTGAACACAAAATGATCTAATGTCTTAATTCACTGGTACTGTATTTTCCACCAGCTGTTTGAAGGCTCTACATTTTATACATTTAACCGGCAACAACAAAACCTGTTATACAGCATCATTTCTATATGAATGATATATGAAGTGATTGAGTAACTGGGTTGTGCTGTGGTCTGTGGTCTAAACTGAAGCTAAGGAAACGATGCAAATCTGCTTCGATCACGTGAACATGACTCATACACTACCACACCCTTCATGAGACACATCACAAATGGGTTTGATGCATTACGACTACAGATGTGTTTAATACTAAACAAGTACTGTATCTAACAGGAACTCTATTTAATGAATCCCCATAACAACACGCCTAGCACACCTGAATCATAAAAAGGAAACACAACTCTACGACTTTGAAAAGCAATGGCTGGGTACTTTAAAATTTTTATGACGTCAGAAACTGACTGGATCTTAAAAAGTTTTCTCTACATCATCTCCAGCAATTGGATGGAGATGAAATAAAAGGGTTTGGTTACAGAAGTGCGCTTAACTGAACATGCACTTGTGTACTTAACTGTACTGAATGTGTAGTGTACCTCAAATCTTAAAAGTATATTTTTAAAAACTGTACTTGCAGATCATTTAATATTAATTAAAAGTCCACTTAAATGACTTAAAGAGAGACACTTTCATGGCTATTTCTTAACACACTTAAGTACACTTTTAAAGTGTGACCTTTGTATAAAGCCAAATTAAAAGTTTAAGATACATTTTAAACCATCTTTTAATAATCTTTCGTCATTTATTTTGATGTGTTGACTAACATGTACTTTATTTAAATGTGTTGCATGACATTAAAGTTAATATAATTTAAATGTACTCAACTGCAACTTCATTATTACAAATGTGTACATATTAAAATAAAATTTTCAATAGAAATGACATTAAATAAATATATTTTAGTTTACCATAAATGCTTGTCAGTATCTTCAGCAGTATTTTAGCCATATTTCAAAGACAATATAAACCCTTACAAAATTACATGTAAAGATGTACTTAAGTCCTACTTAAGTGGGACAAAAACACTCTAAAGTTCAGCTAAACGCATTTCATATAAATTGCAACTGAAACACATTTTCATTTAATTGTAGTTAACATGTAATTAAGAGTCCAAAAGCATTACATTCAGTTCACACTTAAGTGTATTCTTATATACTCTTTTGGAAAGTATGCTTAAGTGTACTTTTACACTTGAATTCATAAGGCAGACAGCACCCTGGATGGTTTTTCTTCCCATTTACGTCAGTAATGCGTGGAAACAAAGAGCCACTGTGAAAATCATGCAGTTTGTTCCCAATAGCACAGCAGCTCACAAATCATCTTCACAAGAGACAATGTAATGATACACAAATGGTAACATGAGATTAAATAAAGAGTGTCACTTAGAGGGTAACATGAGGAAGGTGATGCCGGGAAATTAGGTGGCAGATATGCAGAGAATGCCAATGGATTAACTCTTTAGTGACTGGTCTAGTGCTTCCATTCAAAGGATCTGTAAAAGCTTCAGTAGGATTCTCACTGGATTGACTGATAAAAAAAAAACATCTGGCGAAAGGGATTTTATATGATTGGATAGGAAATATTGTGGAAAAAATCTTAAGTATATCAAGATATCCATCCATCGACATTGAGAAATATCTCAACGTTTATTAACTTTCTCTGAAATAGCCATTGCAGCAGATTCAAAGTAGATTCAAAAATGTTTTAGTGCAAGAAATAATACAAATGTAGTTAAAAAGCATCCTATTTTCAGTTTTTCACAAACTGAACACAAGGATGAATGAAACTTCATTACCTATGTTGTAAAAATATGTTGGTAAATCTTGCTGTTTTCTACTAAAACTTGATCATTTTATTAACTGAAAAATGTCCACCGAACACTTCCATGAACCAGGGATGAAACGGTTACATGGTGAACCACGGTCAAATTTATAATGGTTAGTATTACTGTTTCACATTTTATTTATCATTAAAAATGTGTATCTCTCTCTCTCTCTATCTATCTATATATATATATATATATATATAAACTAAAGCAATAAGCCCCAAGAAGCCGTGGTTTACAGTAAATTTATAACAGCTAAGGGGCGTTGTTAGGCACGACGCGACGCGGCTTCACGGGGCTTATTGCTTTTATAAAACCGTTATTCCATATACGTAATAAGGTTAGAATAAAATGGAGCAAATAAAGTGTAATGATGTAAATAAAAACAGTATTCTTCCAACAAACAATGTAGTTCCAACAAAGTGGTTGCCGGGCAACACACAAACGTAAACAAAGGTGTTTGTTTGTAGAGTAATTTACAACAGCTTTGAACTTGGCTCAGCCAATCAGAATCAAGGACCGGAACTCTCCGTTTTATAAATATATGTGTGTATGCATGTTATAACCACTCAGATTAATATTCTGAAGGCTGAAGACTGTTACAATGTATATATCGGATTCTTTCATATCGGATGCGTTTTGTTGGTTTAACCCGCTAGCAAAGTGCTTCAGTTCATTCAATTATTTGAAATTATCATATTTAGTTTTTCTTTTTCAAAAACACTGATGAATATTCTATAATTATAAATAATCTAGCAATGTTATTTCCTCTCTCGCCATATTTCTGTCAACAGTACGTTGGAATTAAATTCACTAACATTTTACCGACCAATCAAGTTCTCGAAAAGAAGTGACAGGAATGCTCATCCCTAATATGGTTGTGTTGTTCTTCTTACATGAACATTGCTTTATTTGTGTTGATTTTAAATGCACATTTGATTTGCTTACTCAAGACTGTGTTCATTAAAACCTGGACTAGGGAAACGTTTACCTCTCGTTTTTAATATTAATGTAATTATTTGAACGTTTATGTACACAAAAAGTTCAGAGTGCTGCTTTGTTGTTGTTGTTGGTTGGTTTGCAGCAAGTGATTTCTGTGTGTATTAGTACTTTTTCATACTCGAGACAAGGAGGGATCGCAAAACTAATCTAATTACATGCTCTTTAAGAGAAGTCTTGATATGCTGCTTGATTTTATATTAGCCAACGATCTTCTTGAGTATAATGCAAACAATCTATGCCTCACAATCAATAAATCTAAAAGATGTGTCCTTTTCTTTATCGTGGAGACTCTTTATTTGTCATGGACCCATTTATATTCTGTCTGATGCTCCATTCCAGCATAAAGCAACCTCAGTGAACAGATTGAACAAGCACGTCTCTCCATCTTCCACTTGTCCACCCCTTCTTCAGAAACTAATGCTGAGCTTTTGATCATCTGGATCTAAACACAGCACTACTTCATTCCAAGGCCTCTCCTTTCTGTTTGCTTCACTAGTTTCGTTCAAGGCACCTTCAGTCATGTGAATAACCTGTTTGCATATTAAAATACAGCTCATACAGTCGGGATATTAAAACTGCAATTTACCAGAAGTCTCTACTCTACTCTGCTTTAAATTGCTTAGTGATTAATAATAAAAAAAAATATGCAAGATAAACATTTTCTTAGCAGTTGTGTACATATTAGGGCTGGATATTGAAAATAAAAATGTTTCATATATATATATATATATATATAAAACTTATTCTTGAGATAAGAAACAAAACATGTCCTACACACAAAAGCCCTCTTTATGTTAAAAATAAAAGTACTTTAAATGTTCCTTCTAAAGGAAATCAGGTTATAGGCTATATATTTAATATTAAAAAGGAGAGCAGAAAATTAGCCAAAGAAATTTAGGAATTACATTTTTTTTAATTACGGTGTAAAAAAAAATGGGGGTAAAATGTAGAGAATGTATTTGATCACTTCAGCACCTTTACTGAATGCCATTAGTACGTAACTGAAGACTTTACACTGTTATTGGGTGGAACACATTAAAATATCATGCTTTTTAACACATCTGATGGAGTTGATTCATGAAGTGAATAAATGCACATTTTTAGAAAAAAATAATAATTTTCAGCAAAACCTGTTCCATTACGGTTCATTAGCTCTGACATGTCTCGACAAATATAAAAAACGAATTTAGAAAGCAAAGTTGTTGTTTTTTACAAATACACAAAATAAGGTAAAATTAAAAAAAAAAAAAATTTTAAACTTAAGCTGGAGTGTTATTTTTTTATTGCTGATGTGAAAGACGCTTTGAAACAGCGACTGCTTTGACTGAAACAGACTGTCTGCGTGGCACAAAAGCTGCTCTGTTTCCTTCCAGCTGGGAGTTAATGTCATAAATTACTGGAGTAAACACAAGCAAATCCAATTCAGTGCGAGCAACGCAGAAACAGAGCGCGACACAGATGATGAAGAAGATGAAGATGAAGAAGAATTTCAGAACGCTCGGTCAACACAATTAAATGAGTTCACAGCGATATAGCTTTATATAGAGAAAGGAAGGTCACTCGGAGGAGAGTCGTCGTTGCGTTTATCGACTCACCTGTAAACACGATCTTGTTGGTTATTCTCTCATTTCATCTGCCCAGTTCACACGCGTAATATCCGCTAAACGCATTCATGTGGATCCGCGTCTCTCAGGAAGGATGAAGATACCGCGTGGTCTTTTTTTTTTCTTGTGGGTTTTCTTCTTGGTTGGCAAACTTTTCAGCTTTTGGTGAATTACCGCTCCCAACCGGACTGGAGTTCGCACCTGCAGCTGTTCTGGCCCTCTGCTGGAGGAATGAGCTTAAGTTCCTGCAGAACTCTTTTGATCATTTTGCTGTGTGTTTTCATCTTTTTTTTTTTTTACACATCAAATGGAAAAATAAATTGAACTCACCTGCTTCACTAACTTCACCGACAGCATGTGTGGTTCCTCTTGAGTGTGCAATATCTCTTAAAAATAAAAAAAATTTATTTGCATATTTATTTCCAGATTCATGGAACCTTTCCACTGGTCAAACGGTTCTTTATAGTAGAAGAAGGATCTTCAGTTTAAACTTTTCTTAACATAAACATAAAGGTTCCAAAAGCATTTGAAGAACCTTTCAGTGAAAAGTTCTTAAAAGAATCTCTTTTTTTCTCTCTCTTCCTTAGTGTCAAGAACATTTTAATTATACATTTTAATCTTAAAAACCTTTTGTGCAATGGAAAGTTTCCATGGATGTTAAAGGTTCTTTATGGAACCATCAATGCTAATAAAGAACCTTTATTTTTAAGAGAGTAAGAATAAAAAGTTAGTTGTTTTAAAGGAACAGTTCACCCAAAAATGAAATTTGCTGAAAATGTGCTCCCCCTCAGGCCATCCAAGATGAGTTTGTTTCTTCATCAGATTTGTAGAAATGTAGCATTGCATCAGTTGCTCAGCAATGGCTCCTCTGCAGTGAATGGGTGCCGTCAGAATGAGAGTCCAAACAGCTGATAAAAACATCACAATAATCCACAAGTAATCCACACCACTCCAGTCCACCAGTTAATGTCTTGTGAAGCCAAAATCTGAAACAAATCCATCATTAAGACGTTTTTAACTTCAAAGCATTGCTTCCGGCTAAAATATGAGTCTATAATCCATAATAACGCTTCCTCCAGTGAAAAAGTGCCCTGGTCTGAATCAGGAGAGAAATCTGCACAGATCAAGCAGCGTTTACAAGCCAAAACAGCTCTAAACAAATATGTGGCAACAGGGATTTTATCACTGGAGGAAGCGTTTTTAGGGATTATAGATTTAATCGTCTTAATGATGGATTTGTTTCTTACAAACGTGCAGCTTTTCTCTTCTCCAGACATTAACTGATGGACTGGAGTGGTGTGTATTATTGTGATGTTTTTATCAGCTGTTTGGACTCTCATTCTGACGGCACCCATTCACTGCAGAGCATCCATTGCTGAGACACTGATGCAGTGCTACATTTATCCAAATCTGATGAAGAAACAAACTCACCTACATCTCGGATGACCTCGAGGGTCAAATTTTCTTATTTGGGTGAACTATTCCTTTTAAACAACTGATCACTGAAAAGTTCTAAGGGTTCCAAAAATGTTTGTTCTATGGCATTTCTGTGAAACCCCCCCTTTTGGAACCTTTATTTTTAATAGCGTACAGTGTCACATTGTTTACTTTCTCATCATTTCCAAATGTTTTAAATTTTTTTCAGTTTCTCTCCACAGCATGTTACTAGTTGGCCTTGAAGAGCGCTTATGAAGGCTGCAACCGCACATATACAATATAACACCTCATATCTCTCTCACACACTGAGAGAGAGAGCGAGAGAGAGAGAGAGAGATGGGGGATGGGCGACATTGGAGACAAGAGGCAGAGAGGAGGGGTGATGTTGTAAATCACATGACTGCTATTGGATGGACTGCATGATTATTATTATGTATAAGCAGAAGGACACTGTCATGCAGCATCTCTCTCAGCAGCGCTGACTCTGCAAAGCTTTTATTTCTCTGGGACTCTGCTTGTAGATCGAGGATGCCAGTGAGGATGCAGGTAAACACATGAGCAAGGGCAGAGAGATACAGTGAGAAAAATGCAGCATCCGTCAAGAGTTGTTATTCTACAGTGAATGAAGGATGCTGGAGCAGCATGTGCTGTTGTCATCTGAAATCAGTCTAACCTGACTTCAGATAGAGCGGCTCGAATGGCAGGCGCCGAGCTTTGACCAGATGTCAACACAATCCCACGCTGCACTGCTCACAGAATGGACTCCAACGGTGATGGCAAAGAGGAATGGACAGAGGAGCAATGGGAGAAATGGTATGCGGTTCTTTCACTCTTCAAGCTTGTGTGTTTAATAGTAGAATATATGAAATATTTCTGTGTTAGTGCATGTGTTTTGATGAGCTGCAGATGCAGCATCCATTGCAGATAGTTGTTTTTGTTGCATAGCAACAGTCTGTTATGCCAATTTTTATGCAATGTTATTTTCAGGATTGCAATGGAATTCCTGTCCTTCGCCAGTGGTTTGTTCATATGCTGACATTAATATAAATCTGTACGGGCACAATTCTGCTGTCTTTTTAACTAGTGCATTTTATAATACAGATTCTATTAATTGCAGTGTCAGACAAAATACTTTTATTTTGAAAGGGACTGAGAATGTGCATGTTTCACACCATGAGCTCTTTTATCTCACACAGAGACACAAGCTGTTCTGAAATCATGTGTGTGCTGCATTTGATGAGAGCTGTTACTAATATAAGCATGCGTGTGTGGAGTATAAATACAATGCGGACGAACTACATTCATTGTCAGATGACCTGTGACGTTTGCCAAGTCACTGCTTCCTGCCATGAATGCATTCAGAATATTTTAACAAAATTATACTTTTTTTTCACATTTTGTTGTCTCGTCCTTATACTAAAATGCTTTACATATTTTTGCACATCAATCTACAATCCAAACCTTATAAGGACAAAGCAAAACACAGATTTGTAATAAACGGAAGTATTGCATTGGCATAACTTCCTGAAGTTGTGCTTACACAGTGTAAGCATGGTTTACATGGTTTCTATTTCCCAAATAAAAAGACATTTTACATGCAGCAACAGAAACATTTTTCATTCAGTACTTTATGCTTAATACAGAGCAAGAATAACGTTTAACATACGACTATTCTATTAAAACCCTTGTGAAACAGAAGTACACTTTAGCATACATTTATTATTTTGGAAGCAATATCCTTTAAAAGAATATGAATGTAATGTTTTCGGACATTTAACTGCATATTAATTGCAATTAAATGAAAAAGTATTATGCAATTACATGCAATTAAATTAAGAGTGCTTTTTGACCCACTTAAGTCGGACTTAAGTACATCGTTATATGTAATTTCATAATCCTACTGTACTTCAATGTCATTTCTATTAAAAATTCTGTCATGTATTTAAATATTTGCATATCACACATTTGTAACGACGAAGTTGCAATTTAGTGCATTTAAAATATATTAACTTTAACTGTAATACTGAATAACACACTACAGTTAAAATTATAATCAAATACTTGTGATTTATTATGTTAGTCAACACATCAAAATAACATAAGATTAAAACATGATGATTTAAAATGTACTTTAAATTAAAACTTTTTTTTAAAGTGCACTTAAGTGTGTTAAACAGTCATGAAAGTGTCTCTATTTAAGTCACTTAAGTGGCCTTTTATTTCATTAATATTATATTATCTGGCATACAGTTTTTTTGTTTGTTTGTTTGTTATACTTTTAAGATTTGAAGTACACTACAAGTGCACATTCAATACAATAAAGCACACTTCTTTGTCACAACAGTATATTGTGCAGTACAAAGAAACAAACAGCCCACTAGCGCCCCCTTTATCAATTACTGCTTTGGTTCTTATAGGTTGACGCATGACATAGGTTTGGATGGATTTGAAGATGAGGATCTGTCTGAAATCACAGAAATCAAGGATGAATTTGCACTGAGGCCCAGGCGCAACGACTCTGACATCAAGGTGAGAAAAGATCTGGCTTAACATGTGAATATTACTGAGCATCATCTAACAGACACTGCCATCTCACCTGTCTGCTGTTATTAATAATTATTATTATTATTCATATTCCCAGTGAATCTTTTGAATCTGAAATAAATAAATAAATAACTTATTTACCAATTCTTTGTTCAGGAAGTGACATTCCTGTGCAGTACATCATTATACCTCTAGGTGGCGCCTAGTGAGTGACTCAGTCACATTCATGAATAGCATCTAGTTAAAAAGCAAGAGTCAACAGAGTATTTAAAGAAGAAAAGATTATGATCAGGAAACACATAATGAATTAAAAGACCGTATATAAAATAGCAGAGTGGTGCATTTCAGATCGATTATATAAAAAATAAGTCCTTAATGGTTATTATTTTAAACTGCCATGCAATGCATGTTTGTTAATTTATCCTTAAATAGTAGTTAAAAATACTAAAGTAACACATTATGTAATTGCATTACTTCTACAATTAAAATAACCTAATACTTTTAATGACATGGAATGAGATACACTTATTTTCACACATTATTTTTTTTTTTTATAAGTGCTGTTGGCTTGCAGGTGTTTTTTTTTTTTGCTGTGGATTTGTCTGTCATTGTTTGTTTTTCCAACTATAACTCTGCACAGACTACTGTTACAGGGTTAGGTTTCAGTAATATTATAATATTCTAAAGTCGCCTATGCTCACCAAGGCTGTATTATTACATATGTGACCCTGGAGCACAAAACCAGTCATAAGGTTACATTTTTGGAAATTGAGATTTATACGTCATCTGAAGGATGAATGGAATAGAAAAATCTAAATATTGAGAAAATCGTCTTTAAAGTTGTCCAAATGAAGTTTTTTTGCAATGTATATTACTAATCAAAAATGAAGTTTTGATATATTTGCAAAATATCTTCATGGAACATGATCTTTACTTAATATCCTAATGGTTTTTGGCATAAAAGAAAAATCTATAATTTTGACCCACACAATGTATTGTTGGCTATTGCTACAAATATACCCCAGCGACTTAAGACTGCTTTTGTGCTCCAGGCTCACATATATTATTACAATTTTAAAAAACAGTTATCTATTTTAATTTAATTTAAAATGAAATTTATTCCTGTGATGCAGCTGCATTTTCAGCAGCCAGTTTATGGGCTTCATTACATTTATGGCACTAAAGTCATTGAAATGATGTCAAGTTACACTAAAATACATAATTAACCGATGAAATCTGTACTTTATTATTTAGCTGTGTTCATATTTCCACTCCACAGGATTTTCCCCCCTCACAATTCTTTCTTACAGTTCCATCTAAATCAAAATCTGTACAAATCTGGCAAACGTTTGCACAGAGCCGCAGCTGAGAGCAGGCCGAGCTCTACGTGTTAATGAGTCTCATTGTGATGCAGTGAGTAAACACGCATATGAATAGTCTTTGTACCAAACCCCTCCCCGGCTCTTGTTCTCTCGGCTTCGCCAGCACTGAAAAAGCCAAAGTCTGACGTCATTGCTTGCTGTAATGGTCCGCTCAGTGGCCCTCATCTCCCCTCTCTTATTCTCTCATTCACTCTCTTCTCTGACTGACAGCCGGTCTTTCCAATCCCTGCAGGATCATGTGATCCAGGCACACACTAGTGGCCTGGACGAGGTGGAGGCAGGCGCAGCGGGTCAGATCCAGGCAGAGACACATCCTTCACATCTTACTGATGCTGCACACAGGAGCCAAAGAGTGGTTTGTCGAGCATCAATGGATTCTGCCATTCCTGTCAGCATGGATGCCTACCGTCCAAAACGACCCACCACTCTCAACTTATTCCCACAGGTGCCGCGGACTCAGGTAATAAGATACTGTAGAAATACTGCAGGTGCATTTTCTCTGTTGAGGCAAGGGAAGCAGAGCATCCTAACATTTCAGAAAAGAAAATAATTGACAGTGCAAAACTAAATATTATTGAGTAATATTATGGTATTAAATCATGTAATGCAATAACGCTCGTCGATCAAGCTAGCAAAAAGTCTACAAAATGGCCCGAACTGGTGGATTTAATGACTAATTATAACTCACTTACTTTGCCCTTTTAAAAAAAGTACACTTTAGCATATGTTTAAAAAAAGAGTACTTATTATGGAATTATTGTACTTTAGAAGAATATATGTAAGTGTATCTTATATTATCTGCAAGTACAACTTTATACTTGAAGGAAGCCTCTTAAGTGCCGTCTGAAATATTCATCTAAAATGAGCATATGCTTAGGTTCAGTCATTTTACTTGTATAGGTCCTCTTCTATGCCATTCAAGTGAAATAACTGAACATAAATATAGGAGACTGATAAAAAATGCTCATTTTAGATGAAAAATTCAGACGACATCTGAACTCTTCACTTTGAAGTACACTACAAGTGCACATTTAATACTATCAAGCACACTTCTTCTTCGCAAGGATGCTGTCATCTCTTTCCTTCATGTACAGTCCTAAAGAACTTAAAATGATCTGTGAGTGACAGTATTTACCAAGGATTTGTTCTGTAATGATCAGAACAGTTTTAGAAATTTTCTGTCTGGTCTGCATTGTATAAATAGTACATAACACCCATTTTGTGTAATCATAAACATACACATAAGACATGTAATATTATCTATATTAATTTAAAGTGTTATGCATCAAATGAAGGGCATTTCGAACTGTAAAATTGAACTATATGTTTTTGTGTTTGTGTTTGTGTGTGTGTGTGTGTATGGTATTAAACCATGTAATGCAATAACGTTCGTCGATCAAGCTAGCAAAAAGTCTACAAAATGGCCCGAACTGGTGGATTTAATGACTAATTATAACTCACTTACTTTGCCCTTTTAAAAAAAGTACACTTTAGCATATGTTTAAAAAAAGAGTACTTATTATGGAGATAATATACTTATATGTAAGTGTATCTTATATTATTTGCAAGTATACTGTCTACTGACTTCTTCTTTGCAAGGATGCTGTCATCTCTTTCCTTCATGTACAGTCCTAAAGAACTTAAAATGACTTAAAATGATCTGTGAGTGACAGTATTTACCAAGGATTTGTTCTGTAACGATCAGAACAGTTTTAGAAATTTTCTCGTGCATTCAAACACATAATGACAACCAAATAGCAAGCCACTGAATAACAATGACGCGCTCATACTTTATTGTGCAGTGGGGGCCAAACCACTAACAAGTTACAATACAGGACTGTGTTCTAGATATAAGAGCTTTGTGGAAAAACAAAATCACTGCTAATGTTTCCTATATTTTCTTTCAGACAAAAGCCATTAAAGGGAACGCAAACTGCAGTTTGTAAGCTACATTTAGAAATTGCGTTGTGCAGTGTTACAACTACATTTTTGGGGAATAGTACTTTTGTTTAAGTGGGATTTTTCAGTACTCTTTCAAAAATGTTGAAGTATTTAGATACTCCCATAACATTAAAAGTTGATTCATCACCTTTTAAGTTTACAGGTGTTCTTTAAATCTGATATCATTTGTCTTTTTTTTTTTTTGTATTTTAAGCATGTCTTTTCGAAATCAAACAACTTTGTCAAGAACCTTGTGCTTTAGTAGCATGAAATTACCTCTCAAATGCTTTTATTTCCCAGACGCTTTTTTGTATATATATATATATATATATACAAAAAAGCGTCTGGGAAATAAAAGCATTTGAGAGGTAATTTCATGCTACTAAAGCACAAGGTTCTTGACAAAGTTGTTTGATTTCAAAAAGACATGCTTAAAATACAAAAAAAAAAAAAGACAAATGATATCAGATTTAAAGAACAACTGTAAACTTAAAAGGTGATGAATCAACTTTTAATGTTATGGGAGTATCTAAATACTTCAACATTTTTGAAAGAGTACTGAAAAATCCCACTTAAACAAAAGTACTATTCCCCAAAAATGTAGTTGTAACACTGCACAACGCAATTTCTAAATGTAGCTTACAAACTGCAGTTTGCGTTCCCTTTAATGGCTTTTGTCTGAAAGAAAATATAGGAAACATTAGCAGTGATTTTGTTTTTCCACAAAGCTCTTATATCTAGAACACAGTCCTGTATTGTAACTTGTTAGTGGTTTGGCCCCCACTGCACAATAAAGTATGAGCGCGTCATTGTTATTCAGTGGCTTGCTATTTGGTTGTCATTATGTGTTTGAATGCACGCTGTGAGTGAGGAGTCGAGGCGAGCGCTCTCAGCTGAACGCGAGCTGAAACGCTGAAAGAGACACGCTCCCAGTTCTCATTCAATGCAGAAATAGTGTCTGTTCCACACAGCAGTCAATGCAGTTGCTTATTTTGTTTTGTCAGAACCAGTCGCTTATGTTTTTTTAAATGGCACAGTAAAAGTACAGCATTTAAAACATACTCAATACCAATACATCTGCTTAATTACTGTAACAAGACTTTCTGTAATCTGTTACTTTACACCTCTGCTTTAATGTTGGAGGAATGACGGTCTGTGTGGGGAATGCTAAAATGGGTCTGTATGGACCTAAAGAGTGGGCTTTATTGTAAGGATTGCATTGAGAATGAGAAAGAACTTGAGAAAGAGAGGAAAGTCTTTTGGATTCCTGCTTGGTTTTAAATGCGTCTCATTTACAGAACACTCTTGTTTTATTCAGCTTTACTGATTGCTCAGTTTTGTGTGCCAGAAAGTCTTTTATTTAACTTTAAGTGAGTGTTCGGTAGCCCTCATAACTTCAACCCTGAGAAAATATGTGACTGCTTTTAGTACAAAAACCGACCATGCTCCCTAGTAAGACCTTGACCCCTTGGGTCTGATCAAATAATGCATAAAGAAAAGATTTATAATACTTCCAGTTAATTGCATTGTGGGATACAGTGCACAGTGCATCTGGCTATCCCATGCATACAAAAAAAGTTCACTTTATGCACAGTTTGTATGCTGTATACTGCAGAAGCTCTATATTAGTATGCTATAGCCTGTCTGTTGCATCTCATCAACAGGACACTTTAAACAACAACTCATTTGCGAAGAAGTACAGCTGGCAGCAGAAAATCTCCCAGACCTTGCCCCCTCTTAAAACAGGTGAGATCTTTGTTTACGTGTAAGTGCTTATTAAGTCTTGTTTGGGAAGTTGGCATGACTTGTCACAGCAGCAGCAACAGTGTTCTCTACTTAAAACAGAAAAGAGTACTTATTATGGATATAACATACTTAAAACGAATATACTTAAGTGTGAATTGAATGTAATGTTGGTAACACTTTATTTTAAGGTGGCCTTGTTACACACGTTACATGTACTTGCTATTATAATAACAATTAATTATGCATAATTACATGCAAGTAACCCTAAGTCAAACCCTAATCCTAAACCTAACCATATAGTAAATACGTGTAGTTAATTAATATTACTCAGTACTTAAATGTATAATTACACTGTAACAAGTACACCTTAAAATAAAGTGTAACCGTAATGTTTTCAGACACTTAATTGCACATTAATTACAATTAAATGAAAATGTACTGTAGTTTAAATTTATAATAAATGCAGTTTGCTGAACTTTAGAGTGCTTTTCTAACCCACTTAAGTAGGACTTAAGTACATCTTCATATGCAATTTCACGATTCTGTTGTCTTTGAAATATGGTTAAAATACTGCTGAATGTACTGACAAGCATTTATGGTAAAGGTAAACTAAAATGTAAAATAAAATAACACACTACAATTAAAACATAATCAGTAAAAGTACTTCACGTGTGCTTAAGTATGTTAGACAACAGATAAAAATAATTGTTCTTTAAAGCACAACAAAAGATTATTAAAACAACCATTTTAAACATACTTACATAAACATTTAATTTGACATTATTACAAAGTGAACTTTTTAACCCACTTAAGTAGGACTTAAGTACATCTTCATATGTAATTTCACAATTCTGTTGTCTTTGAAATATGGTTAAAGTACTGCTGAATGTACTGACAAGCATTTATGGTAAAGGTACACTAAAATATACTTAATTTCTATGATATGCAATTCATTTAAATATATATGTAATTACACAGAGTTGCAATTTAGTACATTTAAAATACATTAACTTTAAGTGTAAAATAAAATAACACACTACAATTACAATCTAATCAAGTACTTCACATGTGCTTTAGGATGTTAGACAACAGATCAAAATAATTGTTCTTTAAAGCACAACAAAAGATTAATAAAACAACCATTTTAAACATACTTACATAAACATTTAATTTGACTGTGAACTTTTTAAAAGTGAAACAGACATGAAAGTGTCCCTCTTTAAGTCACTTTTAGGCCTTTTATTTCATTAACATTTTATCTGCAAGTATGTTTTTTTTTTATATACTTGTAATCATAATTTGATACTTTCATAATTTCACAATCAGTATGATTAAGCACATTTTTTTCCTAAAAGATGTACTTTTAAAAGTTGAATTTTTGGTACAAAATGTGTTCTTTTTTGTTGCATTTTGTAGTAAATTTTTTCAGTTTATCAGCTGTATGCCAAACTTTCCTTGCTCTGTTGTCTCAATGACAAAAGGCCAGTCATGTTTTGCTGCCAACTGCGGTCATGTGAATTTGATTTAGTCGAGTCATCTACAAAAACGTGTTTGCATGTGCACTCTAGCCAAACAATGGGTCACACAGGCGTACCTAACATCTTGGTCTGTCTGTTTCAAAAACAAAACAAGCCATTTTAGTTTTATCACCCAGCATGTTACTATATCATTACCACTGATCTCAAAACTTCATTTTTACAGAATAATTCAAAGTGCACTGCCATATTTATGTTTGTGCATTGACTTGTCTATCAATTCACTTTTTCGTGCACGATCCTCCTGCAACCAGGTGAACTGGCGCCTTCTCGCGAACACACGTGTCTGAGCGATGAGGAGAAGCACCAGCCGGGACAGAGTCGGACTCAAATGAAAGACTGTGGCACCTCTACTGACAAGCCCAACAGTTGCCCCTCCAAACACACTCAAGCTCCAGCCCCACCATACAAAGCCAGAGACGTGCACAGAGAACTGGGCCACTGCGAACGCATCCGATATCACACAGACGTCAGGCTTGAGCCTACGGAGGAGATCTTTCTGACGCCGATACAGCGCTGCACTGAGGCTCTGGAGCACGAGAGAACGCCGGTGCTTTCCCAAGTAATCCCAGACAGCTCTGACAACGAAGCTCCCCCTCCGTACAGCAAACAGGATCTGCAACCGCCGTCCTATTCCTCTTGTGTGGAAGCTTTGGCTGCTGTGGACCCTGACAGTGAAGCAGAAGAAGCAACTAGAGCGGAAGATCTGTGTTACAGAGACTGCGGCGCAGGCGAGGCTCACGCGCACCGCGAGGGTTTGTCGGGAATGCTGCGTGACGCCGATACAGCGCTGCACTGAGGCTCTGGAGCACAGAACGCCGGCGCTTTCCCAAGTAATCCCAGACAGCTCTGACAACGAAGCTCCCCCTCCGTACAGCAAACAGGATCTGCAACCGCCGTCCTATTCCTCTTGTGTGGAAGCTTTGGCTGCTGTGGACCCTGACAGTGAAGCAGAAGAAGCAACTAGAGCGGAAGATCTGTGTTACAGAGACTGCGGCGCAGGCGAGGCTCACGCGCACCGCGAGGGTTTGTCGGGAATGCTGCGGACTTCCATGAGCAACTCGGACGCAAGTGGACTTTCGTACGATTCGGTCAAATACACGCTGGTCGTGGACGAGCACGATCAGCTGGAGCTCGTCAGCTTGAAAGAGTGTTATAGCGGATACAGCGACGACAGCGACTCGGCCACCATCTACGATAACTGCGTCTCCTCTCCATACGAGTCGGCTCTTGAGAAAGAGGATGAGGAGAACGAGAATGAAGACGGGGGAAGAAAACAAATCGGGATCAAACAGGACGCTTTGACGTGTCTGTCAGAGGACTCCACACCTGAAGCCGACATGCCGTTTTCTCGGAAATTCGTTAATGTTTTCATGAACGGCTGCTCACGCTCTTCCAGTAAGTGCACTTTTATATATTTTTAGCATTTGAACACTATCGGTCAAAAGTTTGGAATTCTTTGTTTTTGTGTGTGTGTGTGTGTGTCGATAACTGCGTCTCCTCTCCATACGAGTCGGCTCTTGAGAAAGAGGATGAGGAGAACGAGAATGAAGACGGGGGAAGAAAACAAAGCGGGATTAAACAGGGCGCTTCGACGTGTCTGTCAGAGGACTCCGCACATGAAGCCGACATGCAGTTTTCTCGGAAATTCGTTAATGTTTTCATGAATGGCTGCTCACGCTCCTCCAGTAAGTGTCCTGTTATATACTGTTTTATCATGTGTACACCACCAGTCAAAAGTTTGGAATAATTCATTTGTGTGTGTGTGTGTGTGTGTGTGTTTGAAAGAAGTCTGAGAATGAAGACGGGGGAAGAAAACAAAGCGGGATTAAACAGGACGCTTCGACGTGTCTGTCAGAGGACTCCACACCTGAAGCCGACATGCAGTTTTCTCGGAAATTCGTTAATGTTTTCATGAATGGCTGCTCACGCTCCTCCAGTAAGCTGACAGATTTAACTAATGATTTAAGTATACTTTAAGTAACAATGGTGTCAGCATGATCGTCTTAATGTGTAAAACTTATATTATACATATATACATAGTATATATATATATATATATATATATATACCGTACCCACTGTATATAAATTACATTATTCTGAAGTGTTAACAGTATAACTTCTATGAAGAGTGCATAGTTGCATCAGTTGATTTGGTTGTAGATTGCTACCTTGTCAGGTGTTATTTGCAATTGTATCAAATCTTAAATTAGTATGTCAATTATGGGAAGTTGGTGTGTAAGAATACACCAGGATATGACCATAGTTAGAATGCACTGTATTAATAAGCTGAAACACACTCTTTGCTGATGTCTTTAGGTACAGAATCCTTTGGCTTGTTTTCCTGCATAATTAATGGAGAAGAGCGAGAACAGACACACAGAGCCGTCTACAGGTAAAACAGACTGAAACATGCGTGTTACTGTTAAATGCATTCATATATTTAAATGATCATGCTATAAGTCAACGTCCTGAATGAATCGACAGTCAGTGGGTCGTTCTCAGGAAATGGCACCATTTGTAACTCGAAATTTCAGGATAAAAAAAAAGACAATTTGAATAGGCAACGAGCTGCTTTCAGTAATGTGGATTCCTGAAAATGTGGATTTAGCCTTGCAAAGTATGAGTAGCTATTTATAATTTGCTACATTATTTCAGCCCCATTAGTCTGAAAGCCTATAAGTTCACATGCTAGGAAGTTCGTATACTTAAATTTCCATAGATATTGGGGGAATCATAAGATGGGGAAATTACTCAGTAATGCTGCTTTACATCCCAAATGTGTCAGTGATTAGTGGGTACATGCAAATTGATTAATATGCAAAATATATATATATATATATATATATATATATGTTTATTAATGCTTCATTTTAGCACTATATTCTAAGCATGCAGTGTTAAATAATGCAAACAAGTTGGTAACTATGTGAGTGGTAAGTCACTGGGACACAAATGAACCACAAATCTCACCATCTGAGATGGAACCAGATAGAAAAGCAAAGACGTCCTCGCCTGATGGAAGTGTTTTTGGCAGGTTTGTCCCTCGTCATGATGACGAGCTGGAGCTGGAGGTCAGTGACCCTCTGCTGGTGGAGCTGCAGGACGAGGATCACTGGTGCGAGGGCTACAACATGAGGAGCGGAGCACATGGCATCTTTCCCGCTTATTACGCCACTGAGGTCTTCAAGGAGCAAGAACTTGCTTCAAATGGTAAGAGCTGGAGATTCAGATGCAGTGATTTGACTTCATAAAAGGGCTGGGGTTTTTCAGATGACTCCACTGTGTCTTAAAGGTGACATATCATGAAAATCTGACTTTTCCAGGTTGTAAGTGCTATAATCAGGTCCCCGGTGCATCTACCAACCAAGGAAACGTGAAAAAGATTAACCCAGTAACTTTGTTTTGGGAAGGCTTTTTCTGCAAGCGTCTGAGAAAACCAGCGCGTCTGATTTCGCTCCCTTGGTGACGTGGCAAAGGGATCTCATTATAATATTACCGCCCCTTAATCTGTAAGTTTCCATAATGACACTATTGTCTTCTGTAGAGATGCATTATGAGTTTGATTCATAACTAATGAACTTTGCAACATTAACACTGTTATTGAACTAAAACGAAACAACGTTGGACTAAAGTGAGCTTAATAATGACACTATCATCTTTTTAGAGCTGCTTTACAGCTGAAATTGTGTTCATTTCATAATATAGAAGCAAACGTGACTTGGCTTTAATAACTTAACAAATCCTGTTTGAATGGTCTTTATGTCTTGTTTATGTCTCGTTCTCATTAGTGAAAAGTACTGAATGGACGGAGAAATATACCGTGAAATTCCTCGGCTCGGTTCAAGTGCTGACTCACAAAGGCCATGATGTTTTGTGTGCAGCTATGCAAAAGGTCTGTTGAAGATTTACATTACATTTCACTGTACGTAAAAAAAAAAAATGTTGTTGCAGTTTTATGTGAAACTTGCGACTGGCAAACGTTACTATTCTTTGTTTAAAATGTTAATTACATGAAAACTATGTACACTCAAAAAATATTTAGGCCTAAATTAAAGGTTTATGTATTTGAATTGCATATCAAATTTCCATCCATTTGGATTAAACAGTTTTAACATAATCAGACTGAATGTGATGCATATTTGAAACAGATCAGATTTCTGTACTAGTGCTAATAAACTATAACCAGGTTTATATATTTATCATCAATAAATCAGATTTCTCATCTGATCACGTGATCTCATACATTTTAATATTGCTCATAATTCCACAGCTACCCATATTTTAACCATGTCCATACTTTTTAACAGATTTATGCTGATTCTAAGCTATTTGAATAAACGTCATATTAAATAAAATTCAAAATTATTTCAAAATGCACAAATGACTATTTAGATAATAGTCATAATAAATAGTTATAATAAATCAGGTCATGTTTTTTTTTTTAGTGCTGTAATGTTAACTTTATGTCTGACTGACAAATATGCATCACATTAAGTTTATTAGTTTGTTTAACTGTGTAACCCAAATGGATGCACATTTAAGTTGCGATGCAAATACAGAAATCTTAAGCAAACGTAAGATGAAACACAGAGTGAATGATGGTCTTCATTAGACTGATGACGGTTGTTTATGATTGACTCCAGATTGCGATGAACAGGAGACTGACTGTGCTTTACAATCCTCCCTCATCCTGCGTTCTGGAGATCAACGTGAAGGGATTGAAACTCACAGTGCAGGATGATTTCGACTTGGTAAAAGCCATCTACTGCATTAACAATGTTTGTTTTGTGAACGCCTTCAAGCACGGTTTTGCATCGAGCATCTCCTCTCCATGCCCTATTTTAATTTTCAAGACTTGCAACTTGAAAATTAAGACTTTCAAGTGAGGAATGAAGAATAATACTGTTGGTTATTTGTCGAATATTTAGCTGAATAATGAAATCTACAAACAGTACACATGAACTGGGCTAGAAAAGAAGAAACAACTTTTAAAAACATTCTGTATGTATCCAGTAATCAATTTAACGGTAAAAGACTGTAAAAATGCTACAGTAAAAACCTGTTAAATGGTTAACGGTCGCTACCGTATTTTTTTACGGTAAAATTTCGGCAACCACAGCTGCCAGTTTTTTACCGTAAATTTTACGTAATTTTTTTTTACAGTGTATATATATATATATAAAGTGCTTTATAGAAAAATTCAGCTTTGCCATCACAGGAATAAATTACATTTTAAAATATACAGAAATAAAAAGCAGTTATTTTTAATTGCAATAATATTTCACAATATTATAATTATAAATGTATTTTTTTTTCAGTCAAATAAATGCAGTCTTGAATTTATTTCATAAAGAGACTTATTTCAAAAACATTAAAAACATCTTACCAACCCCAATCTGGTAGTGTATTCTTTGCCTTATTTTGTCTTTTCCCCTATTGTTTTTTATCCATCTTCAGCTCCTACCGTATTTTTTTACGGTAGGTTTTCGGCAACCACAGCTGCCAGTTTTTTACCGTAAATTTTACGTAATTTTTTTTTACAGTGTAGAAAAGTGGAAACTGGAGATTCACTGTGGGAACCCTGATTAGTGAACTGAAGGACTTGCAGTCTAATTGTTTTATGAATGTGTTTCCACAGAGCAGCCAATATAGTCACTTTTTCCATTTGAAAAATGTCTCATTCTGCGGCTACCATCCCAGAAACAACAAGTAAGTCAAGCGTTTACTGGCAACCTTTCAATTTTCAGTGACAATGATGATGGTTTTATTATTATTAATTCGCGTATACACTACCCTTCAAAGGTTTGGGGTCAGTAAGATTGTTTTTTTTTAGAAAGAAAATTATTTTATTCAGACATTAAGGATGCATTAAATTGTTTAAAAGTGACTGAAGACATTTATAAGTTATGAAAGATTTACATTTCTAATAAATGCTGCTCGGTGAACTTTCTATTCATCTGTGAATCCTGAAAAATAAAATGTATCAGTTTCCACAAAAATATCAGGCAGCCAAACTGTTTTCAACATTGATAATAATCAGAAATCAGCATATTATAATGATTTCTGAAGATCATGTGACACTGAAGACTGGAGTAATGATGCTGAAAATACAGCTTTGATCACAGGAATAAATTACATTTTAATAGATATTCACATAGAATACAGCTATTTTAAATTGTAATAATATTTCACAATTTTACTGTTTTTACTGTATTTTTGATAAAATAAATTCAGCCTTGGTGAGCATAAAAGACTACTATTAAAAAACATTAAGAAAATGGTAATTATCCCAAACTTCTGACCGGTAGTTAATGCATTGGTTCTGTTTTGTGAACAGTCAGTATTTTAAGGTCTGTATCTGCACAGGTATTTTGGCTTCATCACCAAACATCCAGCTGATGAGAGATTCGCCTGTCATGTCTTTGTGTCGGAGAACTCCACTAAACCGCTCGCAGAGTCCGTCAGGTCAGTCTGATTTTCATGTTTGCTTGACAAAGCTGATACTGATCTGCTATTTCAGCTGCTGCTGCTTCTTCTGAGACTAAATTTACTAGAGTTTTCAAGCAACAAACAACAAACTCTGCTCAGAGCTTCAGACTCGTCTGACTCAGACTTACGGATTTCATTAAACGAACAATCAAAACTACAAAAAAGTCCCATAGACTTTAATTGAGGGGGTCAAAACTTTCGTACAATAACACATACAGAGTTTCTTTTAAAACACATGTACATAATGTTAAATCATGTAAGCTACCTGTTAAAACATGCTAGCAACATGCTAAAACAATGCTAGCAATGTGTGAAACCATGCTAGCAACATGCTAAACTATGCTAGCAACATGTTAAAAGATGCTAAATCATGCTAGCAACATGTTAAATCATGCTAGCAATGTGTGAAACCATGCTAGCAACATGCCAAACTATGCTAGCAACATGTTAAAATATGCTAAATCATGCTAGCAACATGTTAAATCATGCTAGCAATATGTGAAAGCATGATAGCAACATGCTAAACTATGCTAGCAACATGTAAAATAATTCTAGCAAACATGTTAAAACATGTTAGCAATGTGTGAAACCATGCTTGCAACATATGCTAAACTATGCTAACAACAAGCTAAATCATGCTAGCAACATGTTAAAACATGTTAGCAGTGTGTGAATTAATGTTAGTAAAATGCTAAACTATGCTAGCAGCATGTTAAAACATGTTAGCAACATGTTAAGTCATGCTAGCAATGCGTTAAATCATGCAAGCAACATGCTAAACTATGCTAGCAGCATGTTAAATCATTCTAGCAACATGTTAAAACATGTTAGCAATGTGTGAAATAATGTTAGCTAAATGCTAAACTATGCTAGCAAAAAGCTAAATCATGCTAGCAACATGTTAAAACATGCTAGCAATGTGTGAAATAATGTTAGCTAAATGCTAAACTATGCTAGTAACATGTTAAGACATGATAAATCACGCTAACAATGTGTTAAATCATGCTAGCAATGTGTTAAATCATGTTAGCAACATGCTAGAAACAGGTTTAAACATGCTAGCAAACATGTTAAAACATGCTAGCAACGTGTTAAATCTTGCTAACAGTGTTAATTAATGTTAGCAACATGTTAAAACATGCTAGAAAGTGTTAAATATTGTTAACAATGTGTTAAATCATGCTAGCAACATGTCAAATCATGTTAGCAACATGTTAAAATATGGTAGCAATGTTAATTCTTGTTAACAACGTGTTAAATCGTGCTAGCAATGTGTTAAATTATGTTAGACGTGTTTAAACATGTCAAATCATGCAAGCCACATGCTAAAACATACTAGCAATGTGTTAAAACATGGTAACACCATGCTAATTTACATTACAAACATTAGCAACTTGCTTAAATGTTTAGCAATGTTTAAGACAACATTTTAATAGCATTTATTGAGTGAAATATTCAAAATATAAGTTTAAAAAAAAAAGTTATTTCAAACTTTCAAACAAGGCTTTGTCAAGCCAACATTAACGTTTGTTTACAAACCTTACTCATGTAGTCCTACAATATAATACATGTATCTGTAATATACTGCATTCTTCTGTGACTCAACTCTTTCATTCTATTACTTCTTATTGGCTCACATAGTGTTTATTAATATATTCTCTGTCTTCTTTAACAGGAAAGCTTTCCAGTTGTACTATAAAGAGTTTGTGGAGGTCTCGTGTCCAACAGAAGACATCTACCTGGAATAATCTCGGACTACAACACAGCAGTGTATATTACGACTATGCTACATGAGAAATAATAATATCAAAGACTGATATACCTGACAAATGAAATGAAGAGTGACTGACTGAGGCTTGTAACGTGATGCACGTGACCTGGTTTTGTGTTGGAATTCATCAGACTGACGCACAAAAAAAGAAAAATTGTACAGTATAAAATGCTGAAATTATTTTCCAGATATTGATGATTTTGGATGCTTTGGATGAGGCTTTCATCCGTTTCTCTGCTCTTGCTGCTGCGCTGCGCTTCAGGCTTCATAGAGGATATTTTTTCATTGCACAAAACCATGCATTCTCATAAAATATTAGTAAAACATATAAACGGTGACCAGTTTAACGAGACGCTTGTGAATTGCTTGTGATGTCTGTTGCGTTTTACAGGTATACCAGCATCATTAATTCCTAAAAACCTGCCTGTAACGTGAAGTTCTTAGGTATTATTAATTTGAAACGGTAAAATAGGACTCGTTACGCAGTTAGTCACCAAATGAAAGACAGATCTATAAATAGCTACAAAGGAGTTGTATGGCAATTTTATCATATTAATAGAAGTCATTAACAGTTGATCAGAAAATGTTTTAGGACTTTCAGTATTCCTTTTGGATCAAGTGCAATGGAAATGGTTAAACTAAATAATAATAATAAATATCAGTGCCATGGAGTAATGGAAGGTAAATGACTTTGGAAGAGCTGCTTTTGGCTTGGTTTTAATAAACTCCTGTGAAAGCAAGACCTTATTTCATCAGTATGAACAGATTATGTGCTCATTAAAGGCTTGTTCATCAAGGAACACTTGTTTTATTTAGATACCAATATGCTACAAACTAAATCTATTTAATGAAGGTAATACAGGTATAAATAAATACATTTGTTTTCCAGAACCTGTTAAAATTGCTGTGTATTATTCCAGTGAAAACCTTATGAATCATTATAAATAATAATATGTCATCTTTTTAAATCAATACTTACAAGGTTTACGCAGAGGGTGCCGAGGACCTGGTGTGTGTTGTTGTTTCACTTGACAGCACGATATTAAAATAAATCATTTTTAATCTTAGTCAAACTATATTTAATTCAGAAGACCCTATCACTCACTCTTCAATGTTTACAAGAGTTTTCAAAGCTTCTGTGTACAGTAACCGACCAGATAGTTTAACATTTAAAATGGGTTTGTATAATTGAACGGAACAATAATTAAAATTTATGATCAACCACCTTTATACCTACACACCTATTTTTTCTGTGAATGTGCAAGACATCCGTTCATTAGCCGTAAGTAACTAGAAGAACAATGTGTTTATGATTATAAGAATACTTTAAAATAATATGTTAACAAATACCACTTTGCAATATAATATATTAAGCAGCATAACGGGCTGTTTTTGTACAGCTAAGCGTAACAGTTACCTGGAAGCGATGATACCGGAAGTCCTGCACATTCAAGTTAAACGGCGCTCGCTCTTTACGTTAAAAAGAATGTGCCGTGATTATATGGAGTCAACTCAATGCCACATATATTCGCAAAATAATTGAAATATTGCACAAAAAAAAAAAAAGTTTTGCAAACGAAAAGGAAAATATTGAGAAAAAAAAATAAAATGAAGAGTTCAGATACAAAAGCGTCTAAGTAGCCTACGTCTGACGTTTTTCTTTAAAATTAGCTTTTCTTTCTGGCTACTAGGTTTCTATAGGGCCTTTCGCACCGCTTTAGTTCCAGAACTAAATGTACAGTACTAAAGTACTGGGACGATTTTGCGGGAACTATTTCCCAGTACAATTTAAAGGGTTGCATTCGCACCGACAGTGTGTACTAAGAAGTGACGTAAGCCGGTCGACAGCGTCGTCATTTGTGCGCGGCGTTCAACAACAGAAACAAAGAACAACATTAACTACAGGAGGATGGAGGACGCTGTGATTGGAGCTGTGTTTTTGTTGTGTCTCGCGGGTTTCACAATAATGGACATGGAAAGTCGACGTATACGTAAAGCGATTGAAAGAACGGAAAGGAGGACTAAGAATCTCCAACGACAACTGGCAGTGCTACATTTGCTACAAGTGCCTGCACTTCAGCGTCCGTCCATCTATCGCTGTTCTCCATACTTGCGAAATAAGTTGACACAATGTTTACAGTATGTTTACACGGCGTTTTAAATCATGGCGGGTGAGGGCGTTTTCATATGCGTTTGGCCAATCAATGTCTACTTACGTCACGGGTAGTACCAGTTGTGCTGGTTAGACCCTGCTCCGGAGTAGGAGCTAATTTGGTTCTCGAAAAAGGCAGTCCGGTACTAAAATCGCACCCAGTTCCGGCGGTGCGAAAACGCCAAAAATTGGGTAGGTTCCACAATTAGTTCTGGTACTATGAAAAGGTTCCCGCGGTGCGAAAGGCCCTCATGTAACTAAGTACTGATACTTCTGAATGGGTTGAGGCTGGGATTTAGCGCATTTGAAGTGAAAGAACTTGATGAACATATACTATGTGTGGAGAGCATTCACTCAGTATCGTCATCTCATTTTTGACCAAGATGACTTTTAGAGGCTTTTGCATTGGAACTCTTCAAACGTGCTTTTTGCAAACAAAAACAAAGAATTGCAAAAGAAGAAAAAAAACAAGTTTTAGTTGCCACGCAGAAGATCCGCTCAAAACGCCAGTTTTGTTCAATGCATTTTAATGCGCAAGTGGACAACATCCAGATACCGTTGCAATTTAACACCAAGTGTAAACGGTGCCAAAACTTAATCTGGTAATTACAATATTATCTGATAAAATCGGCATAATTCACAGCTGCTTCGATAATGCATAACATTCAATATGCATAACATTAAATCAATGCACTGGTGAAAAATGTCAAACAATAAAAGACTAAACATCTATTTTAGAATTAATAATTCAACATACTTCTCTTTCTTTGGAATCGATGTCTCTTCCAGAATCTCATGTGAACCATAGGCCAGGATTCGGTCTTCTCAATGACTGTAGCGTGAACTTGTACTAAATCACGGCTGAGCATCAAAAGAACAGACGTGATCAAAGCAGTTATTACTTTAATGATTATTCCTGGTTTAATATAACATGAGCTCTGCTGACAGTATCTGAAACATGCAGTCAGTTAACACAGAAGATAACAGACCAAAGTGGTTTGTAAAAAAATGTGTTGGCAGTATTGTACAGTGCTGAGAAAATCAGATATTCAACTAAAACCTATCAATGCATTAAAATTGACTCTTTATGAACAACCGTATGTAGATGCACCAAACTCAATGTGTCCATTCTACCACATCTATATAAATCCACAATCACATCAGACCATGAATAATGTCTAAAATGTGTACAAACTCAAACCACATGGGAGCAAAGCAACATTTCACAGCACTGTACTTACAATAAAACTTTCTTTCAATTAACAATACAACAATTCTCTTCAGACATTTATTATAAGTGTATTTCTGCACACATTTTAGGTTTGTTTTTCAAGGAAATGCAGAGCATTTAAACTACTGTTTTATTTTCCATTAAATAATGCACTCTGGGTATGCAGATGGTGGAAAACTCTCCACCACCAAATATATATATATTTTTTTTACAAACTGAGGTCAAAACATTTACATGTGTTAATCTTATATCTTTCATTTTTTCTTAGATTATGCCTGTATTAACCTCATATAAGTTTCAAACTTGTGAAACTAGAACTGCATTTGCATCTTACCCAAGAAGTGGTTTTCCAATAAGAGTGAAATCATTTCCTCCAACCAACAACACCTGCAAAAAAGCGTTAGCATGAAAACTTTGATTACTACACACATATTATATTCTGTGTTGAATGCAAAAAGAAGGTACCTAAACTAACAAAATTTAGGAAACAAAACATGCATTTACTAAGTTTATGAGTAATGTCATGGAGAACTTGCATTTGTTGCCTACCTTGTAAAATGCCCTTTTTTGCATTTACCTTACTTTGCATATTAACTTCTTACGCACAATATTTTTTAAATTATTTCTCAGTATCAGCCAAATAATGAATGACAAGTAACTGGAATAATCTTCAGGAATGTGATCAGTCAAAGACAAAAAAGAAGGAAAGAAGGAAGGCCGCACTCATGCCGTGCTGTCGGCATTAAACCGCATGTAATAATAGTATTTGAAAATGCAGTGTTTTGCAGTTTAAGTACATTTACGTATTTAGTTGAGCCTTAGCAGATCCAACATGACTTAAGGTCTTCGCACACAGAGTCCGAAATTTTCGCACGTTAAAAAAGTTAATACGATCTCACGTGTTAATCACGTTTACAACACTGCCTCCGAAACTTTCGTCCGTCATAAAAAAAATTACTTTTTTTCTCATCCATAGCAAGCATTTTGAGAGGCGTTTTGACAATTCAGAGCCACCGTACAAGCGAACGCCAAAATCCAGAATGGCGTCTGACAAGTCGATCCACTTCTTCTCGCTGCACAAAGCACTGTATAAGTTCAAAATTTCGGACTCAGTGTGTAAGGACCTTTATAAACGTCAGTCATGTCAACCATTTGTATTGTTTCAAGCCATTCAATCGTGGAACGGCCTTAAAATTGTTTAAGGACCCAGCTGGAGGTTTGGATGACGATGACGACGTTCACATCCCAAAACCATCCCAAATCCACAATGACGACGTTCACATCCCCACCCAAAAAATTTACACGGATCATCACATCTAGGTCAGAAAATACGGAAATCTGTATTTATACGGAAAAATCACAGCCTTGAATCTTTGCATCTCCAGTCCGATGAGCTGTACAGTAATCAATGTAAATCTGTATGAGTATCTGAATTCAGTGTTTAAATGTAGATGAGAAAACCTTCTCCATTCTTATGCTGTCGCCACACGCTGCATCAATGTGGTTTTCGATGAGGATCAGGTCTTCATTGGTCACTTTCCACTGACGGCTGGCGAAATGAACCACAGCAAACAAGCGTCCGCACTCTCCCTTCTCAATCAGACCGTTCACCTTCTGCACAACCGCTGTGAGAGAGACGGTCATGAGGACACGCAGCTAAATACAAAAAAATCAGACTCAGTCAGAATCACTAAAACTATCCCATTCTGCTTTCAGGGTATTTACAGGTTTGACGGAATGAATTTTAAGACCTTCTAATGCTAAACTTAATAAAAATTTAATTGTGTGTGTGTGTCTGTGTTAGTGTGTCTGTGTGAGTGTGTGTTTGTCTCTGTGTGTGTGTGTTTGTCTGTGTGTGTGTGTGTCTGTGTGTGTGTGTCTGTCTGTCTGTGTGTTCGTGGGATCTGCACGAGCCAGCGCACGTTGTCGGAGTAGATGGAGTGAGAGACGGCCCACAGCGCTAGTTTGTCCCACTCATCCATGGATCGTCCGTAAATGGACAGACGCAGCTCAGCGTTCTGATACTTACTCTCCTCCAGGTCTGACATCACTTCCTGCGCACACAGGAAACACACCGCAGGACACTCAGCA